TGCACGGCCAAGAACGATCACTGAGAGAAAAAAAGAGAATATAAAGATTATTAAAAAATATTTACAAAGCTTATAAGCTTATTAAAAATCCGAATAAAACTATATTTCATTTTATTTTTTTAAATTTTAGATAGAACAATATAAAATCTTAAACAAAGTTATAATAATTTCTTATAATTGCGAACTTTATAAAAAGTAGGTTTATACTCAAAATTCTAGCTCGGGATTTACTGATAATACTTTTTTTTATAATAATAAAAGTGAAGTAAATATGAAGTAGGTTGATACTCAAAACCTTTGCTTGTTATTTACTGACAATAAAATTATTTTTATAAATTTTTTTTGTAATCAGAAAATTGAACTAAATATAAAGTAGGTTGATACTCAAAACCATGGCTTATTATTTACCGACAAAAACTAAAAAAAAAAAATTGTTTGTGAAGTAAATATAAAGTAGGTTGATACTCAAAGCCATAGCTTCTTATTTACTGGTAACATTAAAAAAAAATTTTTTTTTATAAAATCATCAAAATTTCTTTCTGTGTGCCCCATAAAATTCAGCAAGGAGCGGCTGAAAAAAAAACCAGTTGACGACATTGAGACGAAGCTTCTTCCCCGGCTGTTGCCTTTTACTCATTTGTCTTTTGGCTTTTTGGAAATTAACAACAGAGTCAACCCCCAGCCAGCCTTCCAGCCTTCCAGCCTTCAGCCTCCCCCACTGCCACCTGATGTTGATGTTGCCGCTGGCAAAAGTTACCCCTTTTTTATATGCGCTATCTCTATCCATCACTCCACATCCACATCCACTCTCTCTCTGCTGCCAGTCATATATATATTTTAAAATTTTTATGCCCGAATGAATTTTAATTCCTTTGACGGTTTTTGCCTTTGCCATTGGCAGCTGACGGCCTAAAAGTCTAGAACAAAATACAAAATACAAAAAAAAAAAAAGAATACAGAAGAGAATTATTTTATAAGCAAGCCCTGAAGAGCTTCGTTGTGAGAGTGTGTGTGTGTGTCTTTGATTGCTTATTGTTAATTTGTATTTGTAGATTGGTGTCCCTGTGTTCGTGTGAGTGTGTGTGAGATGCTGCTGCTCGCTGATTAAACCCTTTTTTTACACCCCCACCACCACCCACTCTCTAGGCTGAAAACCCTTGCCTCATGTGGAATATACATATATATGTACAGAGACAGACTGAGGCATAACCTTAATTCCTTTTGGCATTTTATGCTTCCTTCTTCTGCACTTGAAGAAATGTTTGCTGGTTCTTAAATACGGTACTCTCCATATAACAAAATTTTCAAGAGGTACTCGTTCTTGATAATAACTAATATATCTTAATGCATAAAGTTATGAACTTTTCGGTTTGTTAACTTTCTTATTAAATTTATAGTGTGAATACTTGTTGGTACTTTAGGTTTTTCATTTAATTATGGTACTCTCCATGTAATACAAATTTCAAGAGGTTTTCGTTCTTGATTATAAATTCTATACCTTGATGCATGCAGTTAAGAACTTTTCTCTTTATTAATTTGTGTTTCTAATATTTTTTTATTACATTTTTAGTTGGAATAATTGTTAGTCCTTTAGGTTTTTTAATTATGGTACCTCTTCTTACACTACAAATTTCAAGAAGAATTCATTCTTGATTATAACTACTATACCTTAAGACACAAAGTTAAGAAATGTTCTTTTTGTTAATCTATATTCTTAAAGAGTTTTTGTAGTTGGAATACAATTGTCTTTTAGGTTTTTCAATATTGGTTTTTAATAATATTGTTTTTAGACCAATATTATAATATTTCATAGCTATTATCCCCTGTGTAGGCGAATCTCCTGCTGCCAATTGTGCGACGTTTCTCGTCTTTTGCCTTCGAGTGTTTGTTATTGTTGTTTCAGATCCCAAACTCTCCTCTTGAAAATTCCCCCAACCTCTCTATCTCCAGGAAAATCCCCCCATATATGTATATTGACTGCTTTGTCAATTGTTATGCAAAAGGGTAAAACGAAATGCAAGGCGGAATGAGGTACTTTTCGGCTGCTTGGCAATTTTGTTAATTACAAATCGTTTGCTTTTCGCTCGCTGCTAATGTTCCACATTCCCGTTCTATCAATGCGTAAGGCAAAAATTATTACCCAAACTAGGGAAAATCCAGCAGGAACACAACTCTACGGTCCAGTCTTTTGTCCAGCTTTGTCGGTTGCCTTTTTTGGGGAGTGAGTTGGGAAAAATGTAAATTTTCATAATTTCACAGTCAATACAGGAGGCAAAAACCAACACAGGAGTTTAGAAAAACCCCCTTATCCATCCTTCCAAAAGTATTTGTTATAGTTTGTTTGATTGCTGTTAGATGTTACATATATAATAATAACCTCCACCCACCATTTGCAGCCTCATCAACCACAGAAGAGTTGCAGAAAGTTTGTGCTCAAGGGTTGAAAATGATTTCTACTGTCTGTGTGCTGTTCAAAATCCAGAAAGTTGATTTATCGTTTTAATATTTCTTCTTTCGACCAGGGAGTTTTTCGAAAATTTTGTAGAAATACGATCAAACCGAATGACAGTATTTCGCCCCTTAATTTTTGGCATACAATTTGCATATTTACCAAACTTCATTGTCATTTCTGTTTTTACTAATTAAGTTTTTCAGGCTTTTGTTGCCAATTTTGCTTAAGGAATTGCAGATATATTGGTACAGTTGCCACATGTGAAGACAAGCTCATCTTTTCACAGAAGTACGTGAGATGAAGATGGAATCTACCCCGCGACTTTCGCTAATTACGTTTATTTAAGAAAGCTGAAAAATTTCATTTTGCAAAAGGAGCAAAAGGGGGTTGTCTGCCAAGCAGTTGGCAATTAGAAGAGCCACCCCCTCATGGGCTTACCGCACCCATAAGATTTTTATGCAATTAATTTGAGTCGTCGTTTGTCGTCTTGTCATGTCTCTACTTTCGAAAAAGGGTGGCTCTTTCGTAGTCTCCGTAGTATCCCGTATGCTAATGAAAAATCGAACACGCATGCCAGCATTTTCGTAGACCTCCTCCCATCCTGTCATTCCAAAAACCCCAGACCCAAAAACCCTAACCCAAACTTAAACCCCCACCCTTATCCTTTCACATATCCTGGGGTCCTTTGATTGATAATAGAATTAACCGGCTGGCGGCTGTTTTGCATTTTTCGGCATGCCACATGGCCATATACGCATGTTCTTGATGCTTTTTTAATGCCAATTATGTGCTATGGTTCTGGCCCATTGTTTATGGCCAATAATCATCAGGGGCCCCTCCACAAATATTGATAAAATAGACACATGAAGTGGGGCCCCCATGTTGGTTGGTTGCTGGTGTTCCCATGTTGATGAAATTATTGTTTATGCCCATGTTCGACACAAATCACGCAATGACACGCAAATTCGTAGTTAGAATTATGTTGATTCCACAACTTATACATTTTGCATATGGGTTAAAGTTGGAAACCAGAAAACCCGCTCGATATGGTTAGTTTTCTTCCAGAACAGCTAAATTTTATAAAGAAAAATTATTTGATTGATTGGCTAATCAATTTTCAAAAGGGGTTTAATCAATAATTAAACTTTTTGCTAGTTTGATAAATTCCAACTTTGTCTTCCAGGTAAAGCTTGTGTGTTTTTGGGCCCTCTGGCAGATGCGTCAATTAAAAACCGCGCCATAAAATTAATTTTAATCACATAATAACAAATACACACACACACATGGATGAGGGGGCGGGACACGCCCACCTGGCTGTCATTAAAAAATTTCGTTGCATACCACACGGCGCTGTCGAAAAACTTTATCTTGTCAACTTTCACCAAGAAAATGAGTGGGGGTTATTTTAGAGTGGGGGTTGCAGGAAAATTAAGAAAAGGGAAGAAGCTATGCATACATATGTGTGTGTGTGTGTTGTCGACGCACTTAAGAAAAATTCCCTTGTCAAATTTGCCAATTATCATATTTTCATCAAACAAACAAAGTTCCCAAACAAAGCCCACATCGGCAAAGCCTTGGGGGTGTGGGCCATTCGCTGGGCTGGGGCTTCACTGTACCTGGCGGCATTTGGCGGTTGGGTGGTTTGTGCCCTGGTGGTGGTACATATCTACTCCATACATACCACCCACATCAGCATCAGAGTCCCTGGCAATCACCGCCGAGCGACATTGACGTCGTTGTTAATTTTATTAAAAATTATTTTATAACTCTCGAGAACTTTTCACACACACACATGCACGCACGTATGCACATGTGAGGAAAATGTGAATTTTCCCAGAAGGTAAATGGGTAAAACACAAGACAACAGCAATCAATGGGAAATGGCAATAACGTTAGATAAGGGTGGATCTATAGGAATTATCTTTTAATTAAATAATTTAAAGATGTATAATAGATCAGGTTGAAGGATTTTTTAAAAGCACATCTATGGGTTGATTCTTAAAATATTTATATTTTAACCGAGAAGATTATTTATTAAATGAAAGATTTGCTTTAAACTTAATTATAATAAATGAAGCTGTAGTATTTTCAAACTCAAGATGGTTATATCTTGGTATTCCGAATTTCTTATAACTCATATGTGATATATAAAGCTGTAGAAATTGAATATGCAAGACTATGTTTTGTTATTTAAAAGATTTGTACTCTTTAATGGATAACTTTATATCATATCATATATTATAAAATGTCCTATAGCTTATATGTATTTAAAATATTAAGCTGTATTATATTTAAATGCAAGCTTATAGATGATTGAATCCTATCTTATAAAATACCATCATAATAGATCCTATCATAATAGATCCCATCTTAATAGATTATATTTTGATAGATCCTATCTAATAGATCCAATCTTGGTAGATCCTATCTTATGATATACCATCTCAATAGGTCATATCTTAACATATCCTATCTTGATAGATCCTAATATTATAGTATTTTTTATAACCTATATTAAATCCCCATTTTTTCCCTTTCTCCTTTCCAGATTAAAGCACTTCTGGACGAGCTGCAACGCCTGAGGGCGCTGGAGCAGACGCACCTGGTGCAAATCCAGCGACTGGAGGAGCACCTGGAGGTCAAGCGGCAGCACATCATGCGATTGGAGGCCCGTCTGGACAAGCAGCAGATCAATGAGGCGCTGGCCGAGGCAACCGCCTTGGCGGCAGCTGCTGCCACCAACAACAACAACAACAGCCAGAGCAGCGACAACAACAAGAAGCTGAACAGCACCACCAGTGGCGGAGCCGCCCCACTGGATGCCTCATCATCCATAACCATTGGTGATCTGCCGGAGGTAACAAAGGCCGCCATTGCACCCGCGGAGGATGAGGACGAGGATGAGGATCAGGCCATGCTGGTGGATCCCGAGGAGGCGGAGGTTAAGCCAGAGGAACAGCCGCATCATCGCGAGGAGGAGGATGACGAGGAGGAGGAGGAGACCGAGGATCGGGAGGCGGTCAATGCCACCACAACCGATAGCAACGAGCTCAAAATCAAAAAGGAACAGCAGTAAGTGCCCCGAAGACTCGAGATAATGTTGTGAAAAATACAATATATTATATTATAAGTTATAATGTGGTTTCTTCATAACTAATTAATCTGAAATCTTTTTTATAATCCACTTACAGCAGTCCGCTGGATCTGAATGTGCTCAGTCCGAATTCGGCCCTGGCCACTGCCGCTGCGGCCGCCGCTGCCGCCGCCTGCGCCAATGACCCCAACAAATTCCAGGCGCTGCTCATCGAGCGGACCAAAGCCCTGGCCGCCGAGGCGCTCAAGAATGGCGCCAGTGATGCCATCAGCGAAGGTGAGTCCCGAGTTCGCGTCGCAGTTATCAGCTGGGTTATGTTTTTGAGCAGGGTGGATCGGTATATAAAGATTTGGTACAAAAAGTACAACGAATAAATACAGAAAATGTTCAAGTTGTATAAAAAAGTCTATTAAACTATTCTTTATGTTAAAAGATTGCAAAACAATACTTTTTTTAACTTTCTTGAAAGAAATTTTTTTTTTTTAAACAAAACAATATCATAGTTAATTATTGGCAAGTTTGAATTGATATTTATAATGCCAAAACTAATAACTTACATTTAAAAAATAATAGAATTTTACTTAAAAAAAATTTCTTTTATCATATCAAATATAACACTGAATCTATAATAGGCAAGTTCATTCATTTTTATAAAATTATTTTCTTCTTAAAGAAGTAACATAGTTTATTATGGTCCACTTTTTTAAATGACATAAAAACCTTTAGATATCGGTCCACCCTAGTGCGTACTGTACTTCCGGCTTGCCTTGCTGCTGTTTGCCTCTCCTACTTCTTGTTCTTCCCACCTCCATCCTGCTTCCTCCGCCTGTCCGATATTTCTTGGTTTATCAATCGCTTTGATTTGAAACCGACGACGACTACGTTGTATTTCTTCGCCTTTTTTTTTTCTTTTTATGGTTTATTTACCCGCTTATCGCCGGCGGAGGATAAACCGTCCAAAGAAGAAGAATAATTATATCTGGGTGGTGGAGGGGGTGGACATTGGTAGGGGGCTTTCTTTATATAAAGGCAGACGGCGCCAGATTTTATGGGCCAAAAAGGCAAACAGCTCTTCATTTTTTTCCTTATTTTTTTTTTTCTTACTTGCCTTTTATTTCCACCTCTGACAAAATATTTGCATCGAGCGAATGTGAGCGTTCGATGGTTATTGTTGCTCTTGTTGTTGTTTTGTTGATATCAATGTTATCGTTGTTGTTGTTGATGTCGAAGTTGTTGTTGTTGTTGTGTTCTGCATGTTTATCGATAGCAGAACGACACACTCCATCTCTCTTTATCGCTATTTTCAATCATAAATCGTTTTTATATGCCATACAAAAAATATATATTATATATATGTATACTCCAACACACCAGAGATTCTTTGTTATTTTGTTGCACTAAATTGGCGAAAAAAAAATAGAAAGAAATTCGAAAGTAAAAAAATTAATTAAAGAAAAAACAAAGAACCGGCTAAAGACAAATTTTGATTAATTTTTGGCGTTTTGTTCCTTGGATGTTGTTGACCAAAATATCAAATTATGATCTTGCTTTCAAAAGCAGCAACAACAAATAGCCCAATTTGTTTGTTGTTATCCCCAGAAATCAACCGAAATGAAGCAGAAGAAGAAGAAGATGATGAAGAACCAGCAACTGCAGCACTTGCAACACTGGCAACACATGCCACACCTGCAACACTGGCCACAACAAGTGATGCAACACTGGCCAACGAAAAGGAAACGAAAGTTGGCCATGAAATGGCGCCCAAACAGGAAATCGAAGATGTGGATGAGGAGGAGGAGGAGGATCCGGTGATCCTGCCGGAGCAACTGGTCAACGATTATTGGCGAAGGGGCTTCGAATCGGGGAATAATACAAATAATACGAATAATACAAATGCCAGCCAAGGGAGCAAAACGCCAACAATTTATCAAAGTCTTAGGGCCGAGCAGCAGGCACAATTGCTGCCGCCACCGCCACCACCGCCCCCGCAGCAACAGCAACAGCAACATCTACACTTTCCACAGCAACAACAGCAGCAACTGCAACAGCAACAGCAACAGCAACAACATGGACCATCGTCCACAGCCTTGCTTAGTCAACTGGTTAACTCAACATTTTCCAACTCTTCCAACTCTTCTCGCCTAGATGCCCACCACCAACAACAGCAGCAGCAGCAACAACACCACCAACAGCAGCAGCAACACCACCAGCAGCAACATCACCAGCAACACCACCAGCAGCAGCAACACCTCCACCAGCAGCAACATCATCATCACCTGCAAAACAGCGGCAGCAACAGCAATCCAGCCACCAACGACAGTTTGAACCACCATCATGGACACCATCTGCATGGCCATGGCCTGCTGCATCCTTCGGCGGCGCACCACCTGCACCACCAGCAGGCCGGCAACGAGTCCAGTTCGAATTCGAGTACACCCACTGCGGCTGCCAACAGTGGCAGCAATGGCAGCGGCAACACGAATGCCACTAGCAATGCCACCGCTCAATTGGCCGCCAGTTTGGCCAGCACACTGAATGGCAACAAATCGCTGCTCCAGGAGGATAGCAATGGTTTGGCCGCCGCCGCCGCCATGGCCGCCCATGCCCAACATGCCGCCGCCCTGGGTCCGGGATTCCTGCCCGGTCTGCCGGCATTCCAGTTTGCCGCCGCCCAAGTGGCCGCCGGTGGCGATGGACGTGGTCATTATCGATTCGCTGACTCGGAATTGCAATTGCCACCGGGTGCATCGATGGCCGGGCGATTGGGTGAATCCCTTATACCCAAGGGTGATCCCATGGAGGCCAAACTGCAGGAGATGCTGCGCTATAATATGGACAAGTATGCCAATCAGGCACTGGATACCCTGCACATCTCGCGGCGAGTGAGAGAACTCCTGTCGGTGCACAACATCGGGCAGCGACTGTTTGCCAAATATATTTTGGGCCTGTCGCAGGGCACCGTTTCGGAGCTGTTGAGCAAACCCAAGCCGTGGGACAAGCTGACGGAGAAGGGACGCGATAGCTACCGCAAAATGCACGCCTGGGCCTGTGACGATAATGCCGTCATGCTGCTCAAATCGCTGATACCCAAGAAAGGTGAGTGGATTAGCCTGTAAAGCGGGTGGGTAGAAGGGGTTAAGGAAGGGGGTGAGAATGTGTTAAGAAGGGGTTACGGAAGGGGTTAGGGAAGGGGTTACGGAAGGGGTTAGGGAAGGGGTTACGGAAGGGGTTACGGAAGGGGTTGATATATTATGAAGGGCTTAGCAAGTTGGACAGGTGGCCATTGAGATAAAGTTCCCCGCTTCCTGCCCAACTAAATTAGTAAAAAGGATGTAGAGGATATTTTTAAAATAATTGTTTAGTAATTAAAAAAATTTTTTTTTAATCATTACATTTGAAAAAAATTTTATGAAAGTAAATTCAAGAAAATTTAAATGAAATTTAAAAATGTAGACATTTGAATCCATAATTTTCTAGAATTCTTTACTATCAGTTCATTGAACTAGTTTCGAAACCAAACCCGATTCAAACCGCAGGCCATAACCGATTGAGGAAAATCCTTCAACTCGAACTTCAAACGATGTCCTCGCTCGGTCCCCTCTCTTTCTTTGGCTTTCTCTCTCTTAATTTTTTTTTATTTTGATTTTTTGCGGCTTTTGGCGTTTTTCATTTCGTTTGGCCGGCGGCCAAAACATTAAATTGTGAAATTTTAATTATTTTTGATTTTTGCGTATAATCAACGTGCCAACAGCAGCCACACAGCAGCAGCAGCGACAAACTTGACGACGCCATTTTCTGGGGGGAGGGGGGTTCGCTATGGGTTGAGACTGCCAGTGGCGGGGGCTGGGAGGGGTGGGCGGACCAAAGAGAGACATTTGCGGTGCAGTTGGAGCGGCCATTTGCCTGTCGCCATAAATTTCGGCAAATTCGCACATTAGGCGTGAAAATGAACAGGAATTCGTTTCATTTTGTCTCGTTTTTCGATTTTTTTTGCTGTGTTTAGTTTAGTTTTTGGTTTTCATTCACAGTAGATCCTAAGAATCGCATTATAATGGGTACATATCTATAGAGATGTCTAGAAACAAGAACTTCTAATTTTTATACCTTTAATATTTCCTCAAAAATAAGATATTTTTATTCTGCTTTCTTAATTTCTATCTAAGCCCCCCTTGAAGTACGCCCCTGTCTACTCTTGTTATCTAGTTGTCTTGGTTTCCCGCTCCCTTATTGATTAGTCATCAATTTTATGGCCGTAAAACTTTCTGGCAGCGGAAAAAGCGAAAATATGTCAATGCAAAAGTATGTTTAAAGTGCCAGCACGCATTGGAGACCCCCCTCTCTACACATTTTTGCCTACGCCCCTTTCTCCTCACCTGCCACAAAGTTAATCAAATGTGTGTGACTGTGCGTGTGTGTGTGTGTGTGTTGGTCTAAGTGCATGCAAATGTTGACAATTAATTTATGACGATTACTCATGGCAGCTAAACTAACTGTGACTGTTTATAGAGAGGAGTTGCTGATGGCAGGGCAGGGGGTTAAAGTTGGCCAGCAGAGGGTTAAGGGTGGTAGGATTGCGGTGGGCCAAAGGCTAAAGTGCAACAGAGGTTATCCTGCAGTTTTTTAGTTACCCTTTGCTAATTATGAGTAAATATATTGTTGGTTCTATTGAAACCCAGTTAGGAATTTGATAATACAAAAATTAATTCTTTTATATTAGTGATATTAATATAATATTTCAATTATCCTGATCTTCGATCCTAATTTTTTCCAAGTGAACTCTCAACCCCCCCTAACTTGTGCGCCCCTGTCAACTCTGTTGGTTAACAATACTTTGAAGTCATTGTGGCAAAAGTTAACCCAGGATGCGCGTCAATGAATTTTGAATTGTAATTGTTTAAAGCGCGTTATGAACGAAACGGTTAAAAATGGGTGGGTAAAAAGGGGGGCTGGGATGGTGAAAAGTGAGGTTATGGTGGTGAAAAGTGAGGTTATGGTGGTAAAATGTGGGGTTAGGGGGCGTTCGACGCGACGACTGCCGTGACAATTGGTCTGTGAAAGGCTTGAAACAAAATACAACAGAAAAAAAATCATAAAAAATAAAATACAACAAAATAAGCATACATATAGCGAACAACGTGAAGTTGAATTAAATGTAAACAACAACCAGCGATGACGACAACAGCAACAACAACCAGAGCAACAACAATAACAACAGCAGCAACAAATACCAACTGCAACTGACTTCAACGAGGCATGCAAAACGCTGACGTGCCGAGCGTTTGAAGTCGTCTTTGTGGCTGGCTAAAAGGGGTGGGGGGTTTTGGGTGGTATTTCAGGGTGGCAGTGGGTGGTTTAGGGTGGTCTAGGGTGGTTGCCTGGCGTAGGGACAGAGCACCACTAGCTTGACGCAAAAGTTTTTGCGTTTTCGGTTTGTTTTCCCTATTTCTTTGCCGGCTTCTATTTGCTTCCTACTTTTTTCTTCCTTTTTTTTTGCATTTGCAACATTTGACGACAATTGTTGCATATTAAAATGCAGGCGTAGGGTGAAAGAGTTCAAAACAGGGCAATATCGATAAACGGTTAGGGGTTTAAATTTGCCATTTACATTGGTTTTTAAGCTAGGCCTACAGAACATTTGATTTGCGAGGCAATATATTAGTTCGCTATATCTTTTCTTAATAGTTTGATATTTTATGGGGTTATTCAGGAATTTTTTCTTTTTTTTTTTTACTAAACCCCTTAGTAAACTTTGCTCAAACCACAAACGCACAAAAAACTGTTGACAGGACTTTTGCAGAATGTTAAACAGAGAGAAAAAAACCTAGGAAAATAGGAAAGACCAGGGGCGAGTTAAGTGCTCAATTGAAACTCGTTTAGCAGGGCGCTCAAAGCCAAGGCAAATAAAGCGAAAAAAAAGAAGAAATTACGCGGCGTATACGTAATGACAAAAGCGCCGAATGGAGATGGGAGTTTTTTTTTTGTGTTTTAGAGGGAAAGTCAGGGGAGTCGCAGGCCGGAAAAGTGGGAGGCTAACGGAGCCATTATAGCAGCTAATAATACTAGCATATTAACACATAATTTTCAGCAGACACCGCCGTTGTCGTTTATTTGCTTTTAGCCAGGCCAACTCGGGCCAGGCCAAAAAAATAAAATAATGTAGAAGAGAAAAAAAAAGAGTGCGAGTGCCTAAGAATAGAACACACAAAAACACACGGGATTCGACAAAACAAAAGCATTCCAAACGCCAGAAGATGCGGCTGAATAAAAACAAAAAGCCAAAGAAGCAAGGCAGACTGCCACACATTTATTTGCGGCCGCTTCACAAATTATTTGTCACAAGCCATAAAGCGGGCTAAAAGTGTGTGTATGGGTGTTTATGCCACACGAGGAAAATAAAAGAAATACTGGGAGATATTGCTCTGACTAAGTGACCAACGGGGCGTATCAATTCCTTCGCCTTTGCGCGATTCTTGGCCCCCTCTCGATTGTATTCCATTTTATTTGATTTTATTTATACACATTAAGCACATACCTGTGCTGTGGATGTGCCTGTATCGATAGTTGGGCTGAAAAACCTATCGAAAAAAAATATAATGTCGATAATAAAACGATAACATGGATAAAATATCGGAGATCGTATATATTTCTTATAATTTGTATAGGAAATAAGAGGGATAAAGATCTAACACTTGTACAAATTTAAACATATTCATTAAGGGCTATATAAATATAAAATAATATTTATCGATACTTTATAAATCGATATTTGGGTGACATCCCTGAAATACCAGCACTGGGCCATTAAAATTTTGTGGCATGCTTAAGTGTGGCGACTCATTGCGGTAACAAAAACAGACAGATGAGGTGGTTTTCTTTCTTCCTTTTTTTTTTGGGTTGGTAGGGGGAGGTTTGACTGCGTGGGCCGGTCAAACAATACGCATAAATTAGCATAAAGCTCGCTCAACAATTTTCATAAATCTGACGATCGCCAGCAACAACAACAACAACCACAACGGACGTAGCTAAAATTTATTTTATTTTGAATTTCTTTGATATCTTTTGTGATGAACGAAATGAGGCAATCAGGAATGAAAGAGCCCCGGCCGAAGAGTAATGGCCTCCGATCAGGGAGTGCTAATAATTTGATGAGGACTAACCGAAAAATACTGTAATAAAAAATAAATAAAATAAAAAATATAAGCAGACTAAATGGGAAAGTTTTCCCGAACCAGACACACACTCTCACACACACAGCAAATTAATGTTGCACATGTCGTGTTCGTGCTTGATTTTTGTGATTTTTGTGCTTTTTATTTTGCATATAAGGCAGCTAATTACTTTGTAATGAACTTTGACAACAGCAGCAAAAGGAAGGAGTAAAGAAGTGGTTGCCTGAAAGGTGGAACAGAGCGGGAACAAAGCGAAATCATGACGAAAACAAATTAAAATGCAAGACAAAGTTGTTGCACGTTACCCATTTCCCATTCCCATTTTCCTTGGGCCCCCCCTTAAATGAAAATTCCTGGCTGCTGTCTCTGTCTCTTTCCCTCAACCCCCTAGGCCGTCTCTTTCTCTCATATTTTCTGCTTAATTGCAAGACAAACAATGAGTGCGAAGGTGCAATTGGAATGGGTTAAATGGCAGTGAAACGCTTTATTTTTTTTTTTTGATAACAGGTGACGACTCTCTGCAGTGCAGAAGGAACCCACATTCGTTTCTATAGGGAAAAACCCCTTTCGTCCTGTCGAAACTCTTCAATTCTACATGCTACGTTTGCTTTCTGCTCAGCTAGAAGAAGAAGCCTCCAATTTCGTTTCCAGTTCCATTTGAAGGCACTTCTTCAACCTTGTCTTCCCCATTTTTTTTTTATTTTTAATTGACACTTTTGCTAATACACAGAAACACAGAACACATGGAAATGGGGGCCCAAAGGAGTCACTGGTTCTGGGGGGAGAAAAAGGAAAAACAAATGACTGGCATTTTAATTAGAAAATTTTTCTTGCAATTAATGCAAATTGCGTGCGTGTGCCAATTTCAATGTGCCGTTCAATTCCTACCTCCTATATGTTTTTTTTTTATTTTTACACCATCCCCTTTACATATTTATATAGAAATATATAACCCTTTCGGATCGACGCGACATGCTGAAGTATGATTACATATTTGTGTGCTGGCAAATATTTATTGTATTAGAATAAAAAACAAACGAATCAACCCCAAGGCCCCAAGACCTTCTGGAGCTGAAAGCAGCCACTTCACTCCACTGTCTGGGTGAATCTCGTGGCCCCGCTCCTGGGTTCTTGGGTCCTCTGATTTGTTATAAAAGGCAAATATTCATCAAGCAAATTGCCAGGGGTACGAGATGGGATAGATTGTCATATAAAAATTGTACAATATAGATATTCCCATACATATATATATACATATAAATGTATGTGCTAGACAAATATGATAGCTCATATCTGGTGCGCATATTTCTTCCCTCCGTTTGCCGGTCCGAAATCCCTTTGAATGACAATTTGGTCAACATGTTCCTCTCTAATAAATTACAAAACAAAAAATTCAAATTCAGCATCTGTTGGTTGGGGAACACACAACGGAAAAAATAATGTAAATCGCAGACAAAAAAGTGGCCAACGGTAACGACAAATATATATCCATATCTGCTGCCCCAACTACCGAACCACGTCGCTATCTATATTTCTATATATATATATATATAGTAAAAAGTTGAATGATGGCCATAAAGGATGGCAGCGAAAGTTGGTCCAAAAAACTGCGGGCAACTTCGGGGGAAATGGGGTAAAGTCCTTTGGAATATATAGAATTTGTGGAGGGGCGTTAGCTTTGTCTGCTCAGCAAATGAAATGCGCCACGTGAGACTCTTAAATTTGTGGCCAAATATTAAAATGATGTACCATTACAAATAAATATGGAAATTGGTTAAAGAAAAGTTTCAACTTTACTAATTGGAATTTCAGTTTTTTGCTCAAATGAACTCTTAAATAGAGATTTATAGAGCAAGTCCCTTAAAGCGACCTATCCCCAGCTATGCCATAACTCAACCCAATCCCAGCCAGCTGGCCACAATCATCCGTTAAGACCGCTTAAGCTGTCTGTGTCTGACCAACGCCATACCATCTCTGGTCTGGGTCATTCCAGGTGTCATCAATGTCATCTTCGACTTTATAACACAAAAACACTTTGTAATCCCCAAATGAAGCGACGACAAGGAGCAGTCCACACATAAGATGAAAAAAAAAGAATACTCCCCACAATATCATTTTTCCAATTTTTATGCCATGGCAACGAAATGGCAGGCAAAAATCCAAATGGGAGTGAAGGATCTATTGTAGTTGGCCATTTTATCGCCTTTATCCATCTACTCGTCGGCTGTGGGGTGTGGGTAGTCGCCTCATACTAACCACCTATTTTTCAAATCTCTCGCTTCAATGGCTGTCGGCCAGGATGTTGAATGGAGGAAAGAGGAAACGTTAGCCGGTGCCTGGACATTTGTCATTCATGTGTTGATTTCCGTTTCCGCTGGCGTCCAATTCTTGCAGTTTTATTTGCGGCCAAGTGTTTGCTCCTTTGGGCATCGATTATGCTTGGCAATTGTAAAGCGATTTTCAGTTATTTCATTTCGCTGGCCAACCATTCCAGTTGATTTCTACTTATACCATACCATTCCATAGCACATTGCGTTCCATTCCGCTGAACGTGTGCGGCTGATTGATGTTTTTGCTGTGGCAGCCACAAAAACATGCCGCAGGACATCACACAGGAAATTCAATGGTCCCTGTTTGGGCGCCATGTCGCATTGGTATGGGCTGGTCCCTGTTTGGGCGCCAGTTGAAAGTGTACGAGTGTATGAGTGCGTGGGTGGCTCGAACCACTTGTGTGATTATTTTGCAATTTACCACTCGATTCTCTGTCACGAGAAGCAAAAAGCCAAAAAGCAAAACGCTTCTCCATTTCGTTTTCAATTGAATTTCAGCAAAACAATTTTCAGTTTTACAATTTTTTTTCGCCTGCCCTTTATCGTTGCGATTTTTTGTTTGTTTTTTTATTTTTCATTTGCATTTCCTCCGACCGCCCTCTCAATTGCAATTGAATTCATTCATTTATTCATTTCGTTTCGTTTCGTTTATTCAACTCCTGGACGCTCGCTTCGATGAGCATTTTTCCCAGGGTTTGGGGCTTGGCGCGTGCCAAATTAGCGCAACGCTTTTGCATCGAACAACTATTTGAGGTCCGAAAAACTCGTGGCAAGGGAGTTACAACCCAAAAAAAAAAATGGAAGGGAATTTACACAAATATTTTTTATACACCCATTCATGTCCAGCGTTTGTGTCCGGCTGGTTATAATTGAGCAGCCCCTGCCCCCACCATTCGAAATTTTCTGTCAGTGCATTGGATGGAGGCGGTTAGGGAAGAGGCGTGGCTTTTTGGTGGACACTTGGCGGGGACCCTTTTGAACTGCAGCGCCGCTTTATGGCCGCAAATTCGCTTTGGCTTTTTGAACGCTTTATGGCTTAATTGGTTTCGGTCTGGTTTGAGTTCCAAATACCAGAAACCATCATGTGCTGCCAATCGAGCGAGCATCCCCTCATATAAATGAGCCCCGGCTTGGCATAAATTTTTACAGCATTTAATGGGCTTTACGATCATCTCGGCCTATCTCCTCCTACAAATACTAATCTGCAATATCATCATCTTGCGTTTTTCTTGCAGATTCTGGCCTGCCGCAGTATGCGGGTCGTGGTGCCGGCGGCGCTGGCGGCGATGATTCCATGTCCGAGGATCGGATTGCCCACATCCTCAGCGAGGCCTCGTCGCTGATGAAGCAGGGCGGTGTGGTGCCGCATCGGGAGCAGGAGCGTCGTAGTCACGGCGGTGAGGATTCGCACAGCAATGAGGACAGCAAATCGCCGCCACAGAGCTGCACATCGCCGTTCTTCAAGGTGGAACAGCAGCTGAAGCAGCACCAGCATCTGAATCCCGACCAGGCCGCTGCCGCCCAGCAGCGGGAAAGGGAGCGGGAGCAGAGGGAACGGGAGCAGCAGCAGCGATTGCGGCACGAGGATTTGGCACAGGACAAGATGGCTCGTCTCTACCAGGAGCTGATTGCCCGCACTCCCAGGGAGACGGCTTTTCCAAGGTGGGTATACAAGAGGCTTTGGTTTAAATGTAAGAATGCAAGAAGAAAAGTTCTTGAAATCAAGACGAAGGTGCTCTTGAATTTGTTCTTGGAAGTGAAACGGAGATTATAAATCGTCTTCTTACTTGCTTGAGAAGAAACATTCTTAAAATCAAGAAGAAAGGACCCATGAGCTTGATTTTCGAGATTTTAAAATTGAGAGGAAAGCAGTCTTGATTTATTTTTTCAAGAAGAAAATTATCTTGCAAATACTTATCTAAAAGTTTTCTAAAAATATTATTTCTAACGTTTATATGTACTTCTATTAATAAATAAATTCTTTGTCTTCAGCAAAATATCCAAAATACATTGAATAGCAATAACAAAACATAAGGTGGGAAATTAAATAAATCTCTACCAGGCGTCCAGAAAGTCTAGCGTGTACACAAACCTCGTTTTTTTTTAGATTTTTATGTTCTTAGGTTAAGCCCGAAATGTTCTTAAACTGACACCATTCGTTCGTAGCCCGACCCTAAAGTTTCGGTCACATTTTACGAACGACCGTTCATGAACTGTCAAAAAACGGGCTCACGCACTTTTTGACAACGTTTGGTCTTGATTTTTGAACGGATTTTTTTTTGGGTGAATGACTACTTTTTGAGATCGAGAGAGTGTGAACCTTTTGTCAAAGCATTACTAAATTGGCTACTTTGTTCTTTCGCCCACAGCTTCCTCTTCTCACCCTCGCTCTTTGGAGGAGCAGCTGGCATGCCTGGAGCAGCTGGCAACGCCTTCCCCGCCATGGCCGATGAGAATATGCGTCACGTGTTCGAGCGCGAGATTGCCAAGCTGCAGCAGCACCAGCAGCAGCAACAGGCTGCCCAGGCGCAGGCTCAGTTCCCCAACTTCTCGAGCCTTATGGCCCTGCAACAGCAGGTCCTCAACGGCGCCCAGGATCTCTCGCTGGCCGCCGCCGCCGCCAAGGACATCAAGCTGAATGGCCAGCGATCCTCGCTGGAACACAGTGCCGGCAGCAGCAGTTGCTCCAAGGATGGCGAACGGGATGATGCGTATCCGAGTTCGCTGCATGGTCGCAAATCGGAGGGTGGTGGCACCCCGGCCCCACCAGTTCCACCATCAGCCGGCGCCGGAGCACCACCCACAGCCGCACCACCAACTGGAGGAGCTAGCAGCAATTCCGCGGCACCCAGTCCGCTGAGCAATTCAATTCTGCCGCCAGCTCTGAGCAGCCAGGGTGAGGAGTTCGCCGCGACAGCAAGTCCGCTGCAGCGCATGGCCTCCATTACCAACTCGCTGATCACCCAGCCGCCGGTGACGCCGCACCACAGTACACCACAGCGACCCACCAAGGCAGTGCTGCCGCCAATCACCCAGCAACAATTCGATATGTTCAACAATCTGAACACCGAGGATATTGTACGCAGGGTGAAGGAGGCCCTCTCACAGTACTCCATCTCGCAGCGATTGTTTGGCGAATCCGTGTTGGGCTTGTCGCAGGGTTCCGTCTCCGATCTGCTGGCCAGACCCAAGCCCTGGCACATGCTCACCCAGAAGGGTCGCGAACCCTTCATCCGCATGAAGATGTTCCTGGAGGACGAGAATGCGGTGCACAAGCTGGTGGCCAGCCAGTACAAGATTGCGCCCGAGAAGCTGATGCGAACGGGCAGCTACAGTGGCAGTCCGCAGATGCCACAGGGATTAGCCAGCAAAATGCAGGCTGCCTCACTGCCCATGCAGAAAATGATGAGCGAACTGAAGCTGCAGGAGCCGGCACAGGCGCAGCATCTGATGCAGCAAATGCAGGCGGCGGCCATGTCGGCGGCAATGCAGCAGCAGCAACAGGTGGCCCAGGCGCAGCAGCAGGCCCAGCAGGCGCAGCAGGCCCAGCAGCACTTGCAACAGCAGGCGCAACAGCATCTGCAGCAGCAGCAGCAACATCTCGCCCAGCAGCAACATCCCCATCAGCAGCACCATCAGGCGGCCGCCGCAGCAGCCGCGCTGCACCACCAAAGTATGCTCTTGACCTCGCCCGGACTGCCGCCGCAGCATGCCATCAGCCTGCCCCCTTCGGCGGGTGGCCCCCAGCCAGGTGGTCCCGGCAGCCAGGGCAACGTCAATGCCTCCAACAGCGAAAAGAAGCCCATGCTGATGCCCGTTCATGGCACCAATGCTATGCGCAGCCTACACCAGCACATGTCACCCACCGTCTACGAAATGGCCGCCCTCACCCAGGATCTGGACACCCACGACATCACCACCAAGATCAAGGAGGCACTGCTGGCCAACAACATTGGCCAGAAGATATTCGGCGAGGCCGTCTTGGGATTGTCGCAGGGATCCGTCTCTGAGTTGCTGAGCAAACCCAAGCCCTGGCACATGCTCTCCATCAAGGGGCGGGAACCCTTCATCCGGATGCAGTTGTGGCTCAGCGATGCCAACAATGTGGAACGCCTGCAGTTGCTGAAGAACGAGCGACGTGAGGCCAGCAAACGGAGGAGGAGCACGGGTCCCAATCAGCAGGATAATAGCAGTGATACCTCCAGCAATGATACCAATGACTTCTATACCAGCAGTCCGGGTCCCGGATCCGTGGGCTCGGGCGTCGGTGGAGCACCGCCGAGCAAAAAGCAACGTGTCCTCTTCTCCGAAGAGCAAAAGGAGGCACTGCGTCTGGCCTTCGCCTTGGATCCATACCCAAATGTGGGCACCATTGAGTTTCTGGCCAATGAATTGGGCTTGGCAACGCGAACGATCACCAATTGGTTCCACAATCATCGCATGCGATTGAAGCAACAGGTGCCACATGGCCCGGCCGGTCAGGATAATCCAATACCGAGTCGCGAGAGCACCAGTACCACGCCCTTCGATCCCGTCCAGTTTCGCATCCTGCTGCAGCAGCGTCTGCTGGAGCTGCACAAGGAGCGAATGGGCATGAGCGGTGCCCCCATTCCCTATCCGCCGTACTTTGCTGCCGCCGCCATTTTGGGACGCAGTCTGGCGGGGATTCCCGGTGCGGCAGCGGCAGCCGGAGCAGCTGCAGCGGCCGCCGCTGTGGGAGCCTCTGGCGGTGATGAGCTGCAGGCCCTGAATCAGGCCTTCAAGGAGCAGATGAGCGGCCTGGACCTGTCGATGCCCACACTGAAGCGTGAGCGCAGCGATGACTATCAGGATGATCTGGAACTGGAGGGCGGTGGCCACAATCTCAGTGACAATGAGTCGCTGGAGGGCCAGGAGGCGGAGGACAAGACCACCGATTATGAGAAGGTATTGCACAAATCCGCCTTGGCTGCCGCCGCCGCCTACATGTCCAATGCGGTGCGAAGTTCGCGACGCAAGCCAGCTGCCCCACAATGGGTCAATCCCGCTGGGGCTGTGACCAATCCAAGTGCTGTGGTTGCAGCCGTTGCAGCGGCAGCAGCAGCGGCGGCGGACAACGAGCGCATCATCAACGGGGTGTGCGTGATGCAGGCCTCGGAGTATGGACGCGATGATGGCGATGGCAACAAGCCGACGGATGGCGGCAACGACTCGGACCATGAGCATGCCCAGCTGGAGATTGATCAGCGCTTCATGGAGCCGGAGGTGCACATCAAGCAGGAGGAGGATGACGATGAGGAGCAATCGGGCTCGGGATTGGGTCATCTGGACAACGAGGACAGTGCCGTCGATCAGAAACTGAAGGTGGTCAACGAGGAGAAGCTGCGAATGGTGCGAGTTCGGCGACTGAGCAGCACCGGTGGTGGCTCCTCCGAGGAGATGCCTGCCCCACTGGCGCCACCGCCACCGCCACCACCACCATCATCAACATCATCATCTGCCTCTGCCTCTGCCAGCGGGGAGAGCTCCACCGGCAGCAGTAGCAGCACCACCAGCGGCACCACACCGGCAGTAACCACAGCTGCTGCGACCACGGCAGCCGGTTGGAATTACTAGATAAACTAAATATGAATTCAGTGCAATGTAGTGAGGAGCGGAGATGGAAACGCGTTTACTTGTGATTAAGTTTGAATGTTTAAACGATGTGAGGACCCCGGAGACATGCATACATACATTATATATAAATATATATATATATATATAGTAAATAGCACTTAGGCTCTAGAAAACTCTATTTTTTTTGTTTTTTTTTTATTAAACATTAACTACTAAATATAGGCGTTAGTTGTAGCCAATAAGATAGCCTTAGGTTGAGGAGTTGTAATAGTTGTAGCTAAAAGTTTAGAGACGCTATGCGATGATTATGTTGGTGAAGTTGATGATAATGATGATGTGAGAGAGAGAGAGCAGCGCAAAAGTATTAATGAAGGAAAACCCCATTTAAGAGACCCCCGACTTGCCGAAGAACTTTAACCAAAACGTCGAGATCCAATTGATAGTGAAAGATTTGATCTTGCAAAGATTTTCGATTTCGATTTTTCGATTTGTTTCTACTTGAAGACTGTAAGCAAAGGCGGTAGGATTGATAACTACACACGTAATTCTATTCTATATCTTTTTTTTTGAGAAACTATTATATGATTATTAGCAGTTTAGCTGGTTAAGTGTAAATACATAAATAAATGACGATGATGTTCGATGGTGTACATAGATTTCTCGCAAGGCACATGATCTTGCTGTCGTTCTTCCTAAAGAAAATCCTACCTTCTACCACCCTCAGCAACCGACTTGTTTAACTATCTTTTGATCTCAAGCAAAAAAACAAAACAAAAACGTAACGAAACAAAAACAAACCGATATTGAAAGGGAATCGTGTAGGAAGGAGTGGAGTGAAAATCCAAAGTAAAAGATAGTTAAAGGCAAGGCAGAAATGCATCTTGCAGAACATTTCCCCCTTTTTTGTTGCCCAAAATCATAAAATATGACGATGAGAAAGGGAAAGGCAAATCGAGAAAAATATATAACAATAAACTTTGTAAATTCTGAATTTACATAAAAATCACACACACACCCACACACAAACCACACTTACACAACAACAAAAAACACACACACACACAAATTGAGTAATTCATAATTATAGCAAAAATAAACATGCAAAATGCACTAAATTATTTATAATCTAATTATTCTATACATAATTATATATAATTATACATATGCATATAAAGCGAAAAGCGGAAAATTTATCAACTTAGCCTAACGGTAATTTAAATTTGCATTAAACCCTAGCATAAATAACTACAATTTTTTTCTGTGAATCTAAAATATTTAAAGATGAAAATAAAAAACCACAACCCGCATATCGTACTAAAGAAATTACATAAAAGAAAAAAGTAAAAAAAAAACAACACAAAAACCCTAATCTAAGACAGCCAATTTTTTTTTGCCTAGATCCTAAGTTTACAACGTAATCGTAAAATTAAATAAATTACAAAATAAACAAGCAAAAAAATTAAACAAAAAAATGAATCTGTTTTCCTATACGAACAAGAGACAACAACACAGAAAACCAAGAAGAGCAAAAAACAAATTTTAAGAAATATTTAAACCTTTTTTTTCCTAGGCTAAATGTTTAAGCTAAACAAAAAACAGATTTCTCAAAACCAAAAAAAAAGCTAAATAAATTAAAACTACACGAAAACCATTTTTGCATAGGCCCAAAATTTGCCGCGTTATTATTATTATTATTACATACATATATATGAGATGAAGAAATAAAGAGAAAAAAATTACCAACATATACCAAACACATTTCAAAAACCTAATAAAAATACAATTTGCGTCTTCAAGCGAAATTTATACAAGAAACAAAACTCAAAACAAACAAAAAAAAAGCAACTAAGAATATTTTTAAAAAATATGCAAACAACTTTTGCCCGCTGACAGCGAAATTTGTTACGATCTTCTTTAAATTATAATTTCTCTCCTTTCCTCCTGTTTGCGTTTAAGTTATCGAGTTAAATACTTTGCATTTTCATACGCTTTAGCTAAAGAATAAATTACATCTATATGAATATGAGATAAACAAGTAATAAATAAATATATATAAAATATATACAAAATATGGATAAAGAAAGTTGAGCTGAGACAAAACCGACACGACACGTTGAAATGGTTCGCAACTTTTAGTTTTAATTATTTCTTAAATACAATTTTTTTGTCTTCGTATTTTTATTATTATTATTGTAATTATAATATAAATATTATATATATATATATATTATTAAAAGAAGGAAAGAAAGCGAAAACACAAGCGACAACATACCAATAATACATGAACATGAACGAAACTTTATCAAATAAAAATGTTTTCTTAAACGAAAAAAAAACCCATCGATATCCTTTTTTATTTTCCTACAACAACAAAAAAACCACCAAAAATCGCAGAAAATGCCGCTGAGGAACGAAAGTACTCGCAATCTCTTGTAATCCAATTCCCGAAACCCCAAAACCCTAAAACCCACCCTCACCAGAAAAAAAAACCAAAAGCAGATAAGAAACACTCTGAAATTGTATAGCATACTTTTGGGAGTCCCAAGAAGGCGGAATCCCCTCACCCAGCCGATATAAGCCTATATAGACCTAGTTATATATATGCATGATCAGCATTTTTATACATACCATAAATAGTTATATTTACTAACAATATGCGGTGCTAGCCAAGTAAAGTAAAACGTACAGATATTAAAGAAGGAATGTCGCTGACCCACATTATATATATATATAAATATATATATACAAAATATGGTAGAAACTTAGGCAGTGGAAATTTTTTGCATAGATCCGTACTGCTCGAAAAAAACACATACGTAATTAATTTTAAACAAAGCAATTTAAACGGAAACGGTTATTAATTCAAATCAAAAGAGTTGAGCTGTAAATACGATATATATGAAATTATCCTTCCAATTCAGAACACACACAAAAACAAAACACGCGCCACTTTTTTATACCAAGTGAGAAATAATTGATTCTTTTTTTTTTAGAACTTATAGACACAGATATCTATATGAATATGAATGAATTTAAGCCCATGGTGATATGCGCACACACTCCACACACTCTCTCCAGTTTTGAGACTTTGCCAATTGTCCTACCTTCCCCTCTTTTTCACCCACTAAATACTAGATGTACATAAGGAAAAGAAAGAAAACCCAAGAATTAAAACGAAGAGTTCAGATCAGAAAGTAATAACAAGAGAAAACAAAAACCAGACCATATCAATATTATGTTTAAAGCATAAGGAATAGCGAGTCGAGAGGATACACAAGCAAGTTATTTTAGCAGATCGAAAACAAGAATATAGAAACCGACTTGAAATAACCACATAGTGTTAACCAGCAGATATATATACAAATCTCTATATAACATAATAACGTTTATAAAAAAATACATGCATTCAGATCTGTTGAATGGCCATGGAGAACAAGAACAAGAACCGTAGTTAACACACAAAACCAATCGATCTATCGATCGATTAATCGATCTATTGAACCGATACCAAGCCGAATCCCTAAGTTTTCAACCGACAAAGATCTTGATGAGAAGAGCCAGCTCCGTTTTTCAGTTTGAAATCCGCCCAAAAAAATGCAATGAACAAAAACCAGAACAAAATAAAACGAAGCGAGGGGAGTGACAAAAGTTAAGAAGATTCTTAAGCAAATTAGCAAAATGTGCCCAAAAAACAATTGAAAAAACAAAAAAGCAGCAAAAATATCAAAAATATACATATAAACAAAAGTAAATAGAAAACCAAAAACCATATATAGTTATATATATATATTATACATAGATACTAAACTTAAGCACATACACTTTTTGGCAACCTCGAAATCATTTTCTAAGACCTAAGCAAAGCAAAACATGAAAATTAATCGAAATAAACTTAAAAGACAAACCAAAAAAACAAAAGCAAACATTTTTTTGTAGCATTTCTTGTATAAATGCACACGAGCATAAAATTAACAACAAACCCAAATAAATTAATGGTAATGAGTATTTTTTTTAATTAAGCTAAACTGTAATTGTGTTTTTGATTTAACACTTATTGAACGTATTTCCAGCAAACGATTTGCAAAGAAACAACCAAAGCGAATTAAAATAAATCAAACGAAAACGAAAACGAAGACAGAAACGGAAACGGAAACAGCCACGAAAACAATTATCAAAATAAACGAGGGACATGAGAAAAGACGCGAGACATTTGAGATGTCGCCGAAATGAGAAACACGAAATAATGCGAATATAAATAATAATAATATGAATAATAAACTAGTTTATATAGCATGTAAAACTGAACAGAAAAATCAAATTCAATAAAGACGAATCTACTGTATTCCAATATGAAGGCTATATTTTATTTTGGAAGGAGTTGTGGGTGGGGTAAAATTTTTTAAATGGATTTTTAATTAATTACTTGATGAATTGGCAAAATTACTTACTATCAACGATAACCGTTTTTTTTTAAATTCAAACGAAGCTCATTGATACAAAACTATTTGAGGACGTATAAACGGATATTTTGAAGTGTCTTCTTACGACGCTAGATGTCGCTTTTCAGCTAAATGTAAAATTATGCGTAACATGTATCTTACATTTGTAAGGGCTAGAAATTTTCTGAAAACTTAGGAACCCTCTTTAAAGCCTAGAAAAAGGTTTGGAAGTTTGGAGTTTAAAACCTACCTTTAGTTTACCATTAGGACTTGGAAAAGGTCCTCAGAAAAGCTTTTAAAGTGAAAGCTTTCACCAGGGAACGTTATGAGCTCCACTCCTATAAACACCGTTCATAGGACACAAATACTTCCTCAATAAAAAATTCAAAAAATAATCAAATGTCGTCTCATTTTGCTCGATATCAACAGATGGGTGGAGAGTAATTTATTTATTGTATGTCATACACAATTCGCTTATACACAAAGATACAGGCCCAAAGTTCAGTCCCAAATCTGTTTCGCACTTCGTTTGTTCGTCTTGATCCGTGATTTTCTATAAATTAGCAACAAACTAAAATTAAAAGTGTTTTCCTTTCATATGCATACATTTTTATACATTCGTTTCTTGGTTTTTTGTTTGTTTTTGTCTTGAGTTTTACATCGTCCAAAAAGTAGAAAAATGTTATGTCTAAAAAAATACAGGGTAACATTTTCTTCCTAACTTCTTCTTCTTCTTTTTTGTATTCGCTTTCATACATATGTATGTATATATATAAATATAAATTATGTTTGATTTGCTTAATTTTTGCTTGGTAATTCTTAAGTGTTTCATATCTTAATTGATTTATTTTGCATTTGTATATATTTTGTATGTAATATTTTGTTTGGTACAGAGGTTTTAAAGACATAAAAACAGGCGCTAGTTGAAACCTTGGAGGGCAAACAGATTGATCATCCTATTCATCAGAGATATATATGTATGTTTGTGGTGTGTGGGCAAATATATCTCAATCCCTGCGGTTTTGTCGAGATGTTTTGGATACCCTGTAGTCTGTACATTGTGTGTAGGTGAGTGTCTTAACTTTGTTCTATTTCTATTCGAGGCTAAAGCAAGGCGGGGCTTAAGGATCGAGTTTTATCTAGCTTCAAGCTAACAGTTTAACAAACGAATCTATGAAAATTGGCAACAGTGCGTCAGTTAATCAAAGCTCTACTCTGGTTTCGTCCCAGGGTTTTTCTTTTATTTTTAATCATCATCAAGGGAGGAGGCAGGCACTTACTATAGTTCAACAGAATCCGATCTCTCTATTTAAACTCTATATTTCTGTACAACTATAAGCTATATACACATTGCTATCAGCCAATTTTTAGGCAAAAGGCTACACAAATGAACAAGGATCAGTTAAAAACCCATAATTAATTTAAAGAATAGGATATACTCCAATAAAAATATCTTTAACAAATAAAACACATTAAATAAAGAAAATATTTCACATTTTGATTGGTGTGTATTTGGTACGCAAAAAAAGTTGTATAATCAATTAAATATATAAGTATACCAGCATGTATATAAATATACCAGCATGTATATATATACTGTAATAATAATAATAATAATAATAATGATGCGATATAATAATTAAAATAGAAGAAAAAACACGTTAACAAAACTGGTTAGCTCATCTGTTGTTTTCGGGATATATAGGAGATATAGGGGATTTATAGGATTTATACGGCTTAGGATTTGTGGGTTCGGGAAGATAGTTCTCCAGCTTTCTCGGCTAAAGCTTAAGGTTGTATAACAATATTTGTCGTATATGTACTTTGCTATTGCTGTCTGTAATTTATATATAGATTACTCGTAGGTGTCTCTATAGCTACATAGAATTTGTTTAAACTTAAGCGACAACGACAACAACACGGGCGGCGATTGTCTTTCACTGTGTGTCGTGCGAAGGGGGCTTTTGAAAGGGGGTTCGGGTATTTTTGGGGGGTTTTCTTTGTAGGACCTTAAGTTAAAGCTAAGTGTACAATTATTTTGTTGTTCTCGCTTCTGGTATTTAGTCACATTCCTTTCCCAATAACATGCTTCAAGGCAATATTCTTACGTAACTAAACTAGAAAACAAAAAACCATAATCTTAATAATAAATTTTTGAGGAAACAAAATAGTTTTAACATTGTTTTTTTTTCTTGTTTGTTTTCTTGTTTGTAACAACTAGCAAATTGGTTTCTCTTTGACATCAACATTTAGTTTAGTTTCGTAATTGGTAATTTAAATATAATATGTATGTATATAATTTTTAATGCGATCTTTGCTTTTGCGTTTTTTGCTTTTTGCTAAAAAGGTACATGAAGTGTATACACTTAGGGCGTTCTTTGTCAAGTTCTTCCTTTTGCTTATTTAAATGTTAATAAGTATTTCTTGGTTTCCACAATATGCCTATGTAAAGATGTGCAGCATGATTTTTTTAACAGCTTATTCCATTCTGTATATACACCTGGGGCGGGGTAAATTGTTGGAGGTTCATTCAACTAAAATCGGCTAGCTTACGGTTTGATTCTCGTTAACAAATGTTTAGCATTTCAACTACGTAACCATCTAAATGAAGCTTACAATTAGGTTTCTCGTTTTACTCCCTGGCTTACCAACTAAATATCTTTGATTTAACATTTGCTTGAGTGTCGTGTGGGGGGGGGGATAAAGGAAAGGGGGGTCTTAGCTATATATATTTATATAATATATATGTACTCATGCATTCGTATAACAAAGCAGTTCAAACAATTCAACAGATCTCTCTTTCGTTTTTAGCTAAGGACTCAATATATAAGGCGCTAAATGTGTGTTCCTTTGTGGGTTTCTTGCTTGGCTTATCTTAAGTTTCTCTATATAACTCTCTTTCTATATGTATATGTGTATATTTTCTTATATCGCTTTCTTTAGATCATGTAAGTAGGGTGTTTTTTGGATCTTATAAGTGTAGGAAAAACATTTTCTTGCGGCCCATAGCCGAAATAAAAAAGAATCTATCTTAATTCTGGTTGCTCTTT